GTAACGAAAGGCTGTGTGGAAGGGGTTAAAGGTTATAACAAATAAGGTTGGGAAGTGTTGGGAATAATGAGAAGAGTCGTGGTCTTGTGTGGGCTCTTCTCGCGTTCAATTCATTATAAAAAGGGTGGAATTTCCCCCTTCTAAAGAGCTCAGTTAAGTTCAGAGTCCAGTAGAATTAAGAACCGCCCCGAATAATATGATTGTATTGCCCCTACAAAATATTAATAAAGTTAATAAAGCCCTTCGACCAATAAAATATCCTAACGCTCTTTTAAAATTGTACACTTATCTTATAACGCTCCTCATCGATCACCTTTGACCTTGTGCCAAATCGAAAAACCGCCTCTAATTATCTTTGAAGAACGTTACGCGACATAATCGTTTTTCTAGCGACAATTCGTCGCATTTGCCCCATCTTTGGACTCGACATTAAACCCGTCACACCATTTATGCAAAAGGCGTGATTATAAGGTCATGCTGACCAATCACGTTTCAGATCTTGCTTTTTTTTTTGTTTATGGCTGTACAACAAAAATATCTATTTTTCAAAAAAAAAATTTTTCGTGAAAGTTCACATTTTTTGATACTTCCTGATATTGAACCATCCTTACAAAAATTTATTAAACATCTTCCTATTACCTCGAATAATGTAATCATTGTTGAGGTTTAGATGTACGCAATCGACCTCTTACCCACCACCAGGATACGTTCCCGTTAGAACACCTGCTCGCAAATTAATGGCTACTCCAACGCCTATGGGTGGTGATGGATATGACCTACCCGCTGAAATTCCAGGTGTAGGCAATTTGCCATTTTTTAAACAAAAAGACATGCAACACTTTGGTAAATTATTAGAAGGCAAATATGAAAGCGAATTATCTGTTGATGAGTTGAAGGAGCGCAATGTTATACGTCTTCTTCTGAAGATGAACGGAACCACGTCCATGAAAAAGATGGCACTTCGAAAAATAACTGTCAAAGCTCGAGATTCTGGTGCTAGTCCTCTATTCAACCAAATCTTTCCACTTTTGATGTCGCAAAATTTAGAAGATCAGGAAAGACTCTTGTTGGTTAAAGTTATAAACCATATACTTTATAACTGGATGCTTTGGTTCGTCCTTATGTTCATAAGATCCTTGTGGTTATTGAACCGCTCTTGATCGATGAAGACGATCCAGTAAGTTATATGAAATTTCATGCATTAACTGGCCATAAGTGATTATGCGCAAAAAGAGTTAGAGGATTCAAAATCAAGCATAGGATTGGTCTTTTCTTTTTTCATGAAATTGTTATTAGATATTTGAATACGCACATATCCTGAAACAAAATCAAGAAAAAGATGAAAGGGAAATGGAAAAGAGAAAACGAAAGTTTAGAGAATTAAAACATTAAAATGAATTCCTTAGAGAAGAAAATAAAAAGCTCAAAGAAGAAAGTGTTAAAGAATTTTAAGATCGAATCGAAAATCTTGAAGATAACCAAAGTAAGGAATTTAAGTTTTTAAAAAAAATATTTAGATCGTGTTTTTTCTTGCTATGCATAATTATATGATAAGAATTGAAATAAAGAAATTCCGAATTTCATTTATAGCTTTGGAGTCGTAATGTCAGAAATGTCAACTGGACGAAGACCATTTGATGGTAATCAATTTAATAACGATTTCGCGTTAGGTATTTGAGTCCTAAATTTTCGTATGGAACTCCTGAATACTATATTGAATTAGCTAAGAGGGTAAGGATTCAGATCCGCCTACTGCTAATTATATTTATGAAATACTTAAAGCATGGGATGAAAGTATGGAAAGCTCAAATGAGATGGATGAAATTCAAAGGCATTTCTTGGATGCGGCTAAGATAATTGAAACTTTATCAACAATTTCACAAACTCATCCTATTTTTGTTTAAACTATGGCAAATGCGAACGCAAACATTGTAATCAAAATATCATAAGTGAAGCATGGTGCCAATCATCCGATCCCATCATGGAAACTCGAGGGTGGACAAATGGAAATAAGATAAAGCCTTAGCATATACGAGGCAGTTGAATGGATTCCATTTGATAGACTAAAAAATAATCGAAAAGTTGACGCGGAGGTTTTGGTTCTGTATACTTTGCAACTTGGTTGAACGGCATACGAAACATTAATTATGATAACGGGCGTTATTTGAGGACACGTGAATCATCAAGTGATGTTGCAATTAAAACATTGCCCTGTTTTGAAAGCCGAAAGAAGTAAGTTGAACCTATAATTATTGCTTGAAATTGGTTAATGCTGAAATTTGGGATATCTATTGAACATTTAATGTAATTAAAATCCATTTATACTTTCCTATTAACAGCCCTAATCCTAAACTCTTAACCTAACCTAAAAACAACTGGATCCAAATTTCGGCGTTAACAATTGCAGTATTAAAACATAAAAATAATTATTAATTCATTCATATAAATTTACAAGTTCAACAATCACGTAAGATGTAGTATAATGGATATCAAACTTAAGATTACAGAATACAAAAACTAATGAATACATATGTCATTAACGAAAATCTTCACCAATTTTTAAGGTTAAATTTTAAGAAACCTACGTGGCAAACAAAATTAAACCTGCTTGTTGGTATTTCAGAAGAGTTACACAACATTCGTTATACAGGATATATTCATGGAGACTTTCTCAGTGGAAATATTTTACTAGATAGGAGCATGCGAACGTTTATATCAAACCTAAGATTATCCTTAAAGGAAGATGAAAATGTTTCAAAAGGAAATATTTAAGGAGTCATACCCTACGTTGCTTCGGAAGCAAACAACAATCTACACAAGCAGATATTTACAGCTTTGGTATTATTATGCCGGAAATGTCGACTTGGCAAAGACCTTTTATTGGACTTGAATTTGATGCGGGTCTTGCAATGAATATTTGGCATGGATTACGTCCAAAATTCGCACATGGAACTCTCAAACGTCATATTGAATTGGCAAAGTAATGTACTGATTTAAATACACAAAAACGACCTACTGCTTACAATATTTTTAATGAACTTAATTATTGGCTTGATAAAATAAAAGGATCTGAGGATGTAAACGAAATTAATAATCTGTTTGATACAATGAAAGGATCGGATAGCGTAGGCGAAATGAAAAAACAAATTAACTATATGCTTGATAAAAGGCTTATATGATGTAGACGAAATTGCAAACCAAATTTTGGATGATAAAATAGTTAGTGATTTATCATTTAATTCACCAAAAAATTCAGGCCAAGTAAGGACTTTAACACGCAACAAATATCAAAATCATTATCATGTAAACTTCCCACAAGTAGTAAATTGATTGATTTGTGTATTGACGATGAATTTGAAGAATATTTGTGAAGAGAATTGAATTGGGTTTTTTGTTTTAATCGTTTTTCATAAATGTAATTTAACATTATTACAATTAAAAAATGAAATTGGTAAAATTAGTATTAGATTTGTCGGAAATGCTATCGTTATCTGTGGAGTTCTGATGATTACGACCATCAGATAGACTTGGGCGTAGATCAACCTACGAGCTAATTCCCAATAAAGTTTTATATTAAATTAATTTAATTAAATTTTAATAATATATATATATTTTCGATGTTGTAAACAGTATATATTAATGGCAATGAATGTTATACGTCATTTCTCAATTATTAATTTTTAATGCAGATCATATATAATCAACAGTTATTGATGATGCTAATAATGATAAATTTTGAAAAATATTCTTATATCGTTCACAAAGTTATTCGTGAGACCCAGGGACACGGAAGTTATGCGATTTTGTTTTAGTGCGATTCTTGACATACTACATCAAATCATGAAATTACTAATTGTTATATATTAATTTCTGTGTAACTGATAGTTCTCGACGAACTTTAAGTTACACAAATCATCACTA